GATGTAATATGTAAAGCTTTAAACACTCTTATGCATTGTGTATGTATGTTTATTTTGTTAAGTATGTGTATGTTACTTTTTATTTGTATTGATGAATATTTAGGGTTGTAAATTCATATTCCCAAGTGTTGTGAATGTGTTAATGACTAAGGGACCCAAGTGTGGCAACTAAACAATTTAAGTCGCTAGAATTAAAATAATATATGAGTTACGAAGATGGGCCAATACAAGTGTTGGATTGAGAGATTAAATAGCTAAGGAACACACTCCATTAGTTAAAATTTTATGAAGGAATCACAACGAGGAGGATGCTACATAAGAACAAGAAGGTAAAATGAGATCGAAGTATCCCGAGTTGTTTGAGTAAGTTAAATTCCAAGGATGAAATTTTTATGAAGAGGACAGGATGTGATATGTAAAGCTTTAAACGCTCTTATGCATTATGTATGCATGATTATTTTTTAAGTATGTGTATGTTACTTTTTATTTGCATTGATGAATATTTAGGGTTGTAAATTCATATTCCTAAGTGTTGTGAATATGTTAATGACTAAGGGACCCAAGTGTGGCAATTAAAAAATTTGGGCCACTAGAATTAAAATCAAATATGAGTTACGAAGATCGGCTAATACAAATGTTTGATTGAGAGATTAAATAGCTAAGGAAGAAACTCCATTAGTTAAAATTTTATGAAGGAATCACAACGTGGAGGAGGCTACATTGGAACAAGAAGCTGAAATGAGATCGAAGTATCATTAGTTTTTTGAGTAAGTTAAATTCCAAGGACGAAATTTTTATAAAGTGGAGAGGATGTAATATGTAAATCTTTAAACGCTCTTATGCATTGTGTGTGTATGTTTATTTTGTTAAGTATGAGTATGTTATTTTTTATTTGCATTGATGAATATTTAGGGTTGTAAATTCATATTGCTAAGTGTTGTGAATGTGTTAATGACTAAGGAACCCAAGTGTGGCAATTAAGAAATTTGAGCCGCTAGAATTAAAATCAAATTTGAGATACCAAGATGGGCCAATAGAAGTGTTGGATTGAGAGATTAAATAGCTAAGGAACACACTCCATTAGTTAAAATTTTATGAAGGAATCACAACGAGGAGGATGCATACATAAGAACAAGAAGGTAAAATGAGATCGAAGTATCTCGAGTTGTTTGAGTAAGTTAAATTTCGAGGATGAAATTTTTATGAAGAGGACATGGATGTGATATGTAAAGCTTTAAACGCTCTTATGCATTATGTATGTATGTTTATTTTGTTAAGTATGTGTATGTTACTTTTTATTTGCATTGATGAATATTTAGGGTTGTAAATTCATATTCCTAAGTGTTGTGAATATGTTAATGACTAAGGGACCCAAGTGTGGCAATTAAAAAATTTGGGCCGCTAGAATTAAAATCAAATATGAGTTACGAAGATGGGCTAATACAAGTGTTGGATTGAGAGATTAAATAGCTAAGGAAGAAACTCCATTAGTTAAAATTTTAAGAAGGAATCACAATGTGGAGGAGGCTACATAGGAAAAAGAAGCTAAAATGAGATCGAAGTATCCTTAGTTATTTGAGTAAGTTAAATTTCGAGGATGAAATTTTTATGAAGAGGAAAGGATGTAATATGTAAAGCTTTAAACACTCTTATGCATTGTGTGTGTATGTTTAAAATATGTAAAGCTTTAAACACTCTTATGCATTGTGTGTGTATGTTTATTTTGTTAAGTATGTGTATGTTACATTTTATTTGCATTGATGAATAGTTAGGGTTGTAAATTCATATTCCTAAGTGTTGTGAATATGTTAATGACTAAGGGACCCAAGTGTGGCAATTAAAAAATTTGAGCCGCTAGAATTAAAATCAAATATGAGTTAGGAAGATGGGCTAATACAAGTGTTGGATTGAGAGATTAAATAGCTAAAGAACAAACTCCATTAGTTAAAATTTTATGAAGGAATCACAACGAGGAGGAGGCTACATAGGAACAAGAAGCTAAAATGAGACCGAAGTATCCCGAGTTGTTTAAGTAAGTTAAATTCTAAGGATGAGATTTTTATGAAGAGGAAATGATGTGATATGTAAAGCTCTAAACGCTCTTATGCAATGTGTGTGTATGCTTATTTTTTTAAGTATGTGTATCTTACTTTTTATTTACATTGATGAATATTTAGGGTTGTAAATTCATACTGCTAAGTGTTATGAATTCGTTAATGACTAAGGGACCCAAGTGTGACAATTAAAAAATTGGAGCTGCTAGAATTAAAATCAAATTTGAGTTACGAAGATAGGCTAATACAAGTGTTGGATTGAGAGATTAAATAGCTAAGGAACAAACTCCATTAGTTAAAATTTTATGACGGAATCACAACGTGGAGGAGGCTACATAGGAACAAGAAGCTAAAATGAGATCGAAGCATCCTAAGTTATTTGAGTAAGTTAAATTCGAGAATGAAATTTTTATGAAGAGGAAAGGATGTGATATGTAAAGCTTTAAACGCTCTTATTCATTGTGTGTGTATGTTTATTTTTTTAAGTATGCGTATATTACTTTTTATTTCCATTGATGAATATTTAGGGTTGTAAATTCATATTGCTAAGTGTCGTGAATCCGTTAATGACTAAGGGACCCAAGTGTGGCAATTAAAATATTGAGGGCTTAAGAGAGTTAAGTGAGAAAGTGAAGTGACTAGTTTGTTAAGCTTGTATAAGTTACTAACCAAGCTTTATTTTTAGGTTATAACATACATGGAACATGTAATAAATGTTCCATGTATGTCATAACCTAAACATAAAGCTTGGTTAGTAACTTATACATGTGTTAATCTAGAAAATCTTACTTGATTAGGTGTCCCATATGTAGAAAAATCAAGAAAAATATATAAGTATAAGTGTTCCATACATAATACAAGTGGTAACTTTAAGCTTCTTGAATTCTCTAAAATTTCAGCTAAGAAGGAAAAATTAGAGAAAGAATTTCTAAGTTATTTTTGTAATGTTTTGACCTTGGAAAACATAAAAACACAAGAGTGAAAACTAATTTACCTAGGAAAAACAAGTTTGGCCGAGAGGAAGGGAGAGTTGGCTAAGAGTGAGTCCGACCGAGAGGAAACGAAGAATTGGACAACTTTAGTCGAAAGCAAGAATAAGGGAGAATGTGACATTCTTGAGAACTTTTAGGGTGTTTCAACCATAGCTAAACCCTAAGGTAAGTGAGTCTCAACTCACCACAAGACATAAAAATTATAGGACTTTGTATTTGATAGCTTTTTGTTCACATGTTACTTAATAATTGATCACTTATGAATTTTTGCTTACTTGATGTTATATTCATATGTTTACTTGATAACGATAAATGTAATTCAACTCATTACAAGATTAATATGTCATATGGTTTTGGGTCCACATGTTTACTAGATGCATGAACACTTATGATGTTAAGTTCATTTCTATAATGTTTGATTGAACACTTATGATGCTACTTAATAGTTTAGGGTTTATGTTTTACTTGATGATTCTTGGTTTATGTTTAGGTATTTATTTAATGATTGAATAGTAGAATTGTTATTTGATTGGTTTTAGATATGTGTAGTTATTTGATATTACTTGGTTATGTGTTCATGTGATTAATTAGTGATTGAACACTTGTGATATTGTTTGATGGATTCGATTCATGACTATGCTTGATGATACTTGGTTAAATTTTTATGTATTTACTTGAGGTTTGCACTCTAATTGTATTCATGCTCGTGAAAATGTTTTATCATGATTTCAAGCATCTAAAGAAAGGTCATGTGCATGATTTCAAGAAAGGCTCATGGCTAAACATGTTCAAGAGGGCAAGAAGACAAACACGGGGAATGATCAACCCTTTGTGAGGTTAATGGAATGGAATATGTCTAGTGCTTTTATGTTTTTTTCATAAATGACAATTTTAAATGAGGGTTAAATAATTATACATTTAGCGAGGGTGCGTCCAAAAGACAAAAAATGAATTTCGGTGTCTTGAAAAATATATTTTCTTACATTCATACATGGCTACACTTATTGAGCTTTAGCCGATAGTTGTCTTATGGTGTAGGTGAACAAAATGATGCCTAATGATATGATGTGAAGTTCAAGATGTTGCCATGAGGAGTTGAGTTTACCAAAGTGTGTACTATATCTATAGATTTAAAGTTTAAAAGCTAAACAATACCTAGGTTTGGTCACTTTGTGTTTTTCTAAATTTGGTCATTTTGGTTTGTAAACTTATGTTACATTTGGAAAAATATGTTATATCAACTTATATATGGGTTTGATAGTTTATGAAATGGTTTTATGTTTTGAGATAATACAAATTTGAATTGCTTTTGAACACATAAACTACGGTTTGCTTTGAACTTTAGACCAAAAGATTCTCGATGTGCATTATATTTCATTTACAAAGTAGAGGATATAGGGTTTTATCTTGCATTCTACAGGTATAAGGCATTTTCTATAACACTTTTAGCCACCTTAGGCCGAGGATTTTATAATAAACTTCAGAAATTTTGTGTGTACTAAATGGTCAAAGTGCTCATTAATAGCAATGATACCAAATGCCACAGCCGGCAACTATGATTAACAATAAGGTATGTATATCTTGAGTAATGAAGGCTAATTGAATTGTGTCAGAAAGACAATTTCTTTAAAGTTGTCTATTATTCTAACTAAGAATTGGAGTTTATCAAATTAATACTTAAAATAAAGTCAACAAGGATGAACCGAAATGGATTACTACTTCCAAGTTTGTCGAATTTTTATTTCTGCATTATAGTTGTGTCAGGCAGTCTCGTTTTACAAAGAACATCTCTAAAACTTTTCAATAAAGATATTTTCATTTTTTTAAAAAAAATCATAATGGAGTCCCGAAAGGAAAATATAACAAGACAACAAAATATGCACAAAATAATAATAATAATAATAAGATAATGAAGGTGGATGTGACAATTGATGAAGCAAATTAGAAAAATTCTCTAATCTCTACCCTTCCAGTAGCCAGAATCCAAAGCGTCTGGATAAAGATCACCAGCAGATGTAGACGAAAGAGTCCTTGGTCCAACCATTGAACTACTTTGAGTATGAGTCTCACGTATGTCCTGTTTTGTGCTGAACTGAAAATGCTTTCTCATTTCTTCATTCTTTTTCTCATCAAATGAGATACTTTTATCTGGAATGCCAAAATCTTGAACAACAGCATTGCCTTCGAGCATGCTTACTACTGAAGACATTGTAGGCCTAACTATTGGGGCGACATTACTACAAAGGAGAGCCACATTAATCATTGTTAACACCTCTTCTTTGTTGTAGTCTTTTCCTAGCCTTGGATCAACAAGCTCCAGTAATGTCCCTTTCTCTTTCAAAACTATTGCCTACAAAAGATGATACAAACATAAATTAGTGCAATAATAATCAGGTAATGAAGTCAGGGTCATGTTGTCCAGCATTTTTCTGATTTATTTTTAATCAAGTAACAAGAAAAATTAACTCAAATACAATAATGCAAGAGAGCAAGAAAATTAATTTACCCAGTCAAGAAGATAAACAGCGTCCTCATTTTCTTGATAACTAGTATTGCTCCTCCCACTAACAATTTCCAAGGCAACAATTCCATAACTGTAGACATCTGCCTTGTCACTCAAATGACCCCTCATTGCATATTCAGGTGCCATATACCCACTGCAAAATCAACAGTATTAAAGTTTCTACATTAGGCATTGAAACCTAAAAGGATAGCAGCTCTAGTTCATAACATTTACAAATTATGGTTCTGTTTAAAACTGTAAAGAATTAATTAAGTTTGAAGGGGAGTTTTAGGGTGAACTTCTGTTTTTTATTTTATTTATTTTTTATTGTATTCAACTAAAAATATGAGGACCAAAAAATAAGATTTGTTGGGTGCACATGTAAGTGATGAGTATTCCACGTTGATAAGAAATAAAAAAAAAAAAGGTGTTGATGTATAAAATAAACCCATAATCCATAAGTCCATAAGTCCAAACTTTTGGGTTAAGAAGTGTTTATTGTTGCGTGTAAGCCCTAGAGCGTCTAGGCGCAGTTACATGCACGAGTGACTCTCCAGAGCTCACATGAAGGTAAAAGAAAAGTGAGGGGAAGATTTGTTGACTACACATGTAGGTTGTATGCACTCGTACTAGACGAACCATTCATTTTGGGTTAAGGTGATACCACTTGTTAGGAGATAGCCACCATTCACAATAGATATGGCAATTTGCCCCACCCCGTCTCGTTTGAGGTGGGGATAGTATTCAAAATTCGTCTCGTTTGAGGCGGGGATAGTATTCAAAATTTCATACTGAACGGGGCATGTGGCAAAATCTTTTGAGGTGGGGCGGGGATAGCCGCCTTGCCATTTTTCCATTAGAAATAAAAATTTGACAGGACTCCACCTCGCCCTGTTTGGGGCGGGGATGGTACTCAAAATTTCGTTCCGAATGGAACACGGGGCAGGGATGGGGTAAAATTTTTGGGGCAAGGCAAGGACAGGGATGGCTATCCCCGCCCCCGCCCTGCCCCATTGCCATCCCTAACTCACATGTATACCTAACAAATCTCCTATTCACATGTTGGATAATGGATCCAGCCCATGTGATCTAAATGATTATCCAACTAAGAAAAGAATCCAGCCCTTATGATCCATATGATTGTCCAACTAAAAAACGGATTGAAGTGAAATAGAAAATTAAAAGATTGATCTAAAAGATCCATGTGTGGCATGAAAATAAAGAAAAAGTTTCCAAGGGAGAGTAATTGGAGAGATTTTTTTTTTCCTTTGTTTTTATGTATAGTTGCCAAGAGATAGTATTAGAGAGAGAGAAGAAAAACCAAAAAGAAAACAATAATTTTTCTTATTCTTTTGATAAATTTTAAATATTAAGATTTTCTCTAACTTTAATTTTTTATTACTACAATTATAGAGAATTTTAGTGTTCAAGATGATGATCTTACACAACATTAAACTTGTAGAAATACAAAGACTTCACAGATTTTAGGTTTTGTAATGAAATGAATTTAACTAGAAAGAGAACTTGTATTATAATTTTTTTTTTACCTTTCAAGTTCATAGAGAAAATTGAGTAGTATTGCTTTCTTGATTATAGTGATTTATTTCAAAATTGATCTCATGGTTTTTTCCTTTACGATATAGTGTTTTCCACATAAATTTGGCATTTTTATGATTGTGCTCTTATGATCGATTCAATTTGTGCTCTTGATTATTGTGTATTTAGTTTGATCATTTTATCATGAAACCTAATTTTAATAGAATTAGACTAAATTATCAATAGTTGTATCTAAGCCTTGGTTAGAAGATTTGTGAAAATTATATGATGAAAAATAATTTGAGAACTATGATTGAACTGATAGCTTTGAATTATTCAATTTAAAAGCCGATGATATATGATTTATTTTATTACCATGATTGGTTGATCCGATTGAATTGATAAAGCCAAACTAGAAGGGATGAATGAAGATGCTTGAAAAAAAGAGCATAGAAAAGTTATTGGAGCTATCTGATAATAAATGGATGATAATGTATTTTACCACGTATCCGAAAAGACAAAACACCTAAGAACTATAAGAAAAAATAAAGAACAAGTATGAAAGTAAGACTTCACAAAATATAGTTATGTTTTTCATTAGAAAGCTTGTAAATTGAAATACGGAGATAAAAAAATCTATTGCCGAACACTTGAGTGACTTTCAAGATTTTATTAATTAGTTGAGAACCATTAAATTAGTACTAGATGATGAGTTACAAGTACTATTACAATTAAAAAAAAAAAAACTTTGCTAGATAGTTGGGAGATCTTAGTTGTGACACTTTGTGAGTTTACTTTGAATGATGCTCTATCCCTATCTACAGTAAAAGATAGCTCGTTTATTGGGGGGGGGGGGGGAACCAAACAAACTGAAGTGATTATAGATAATGCATAAATTCTTATAATAGAGAACAGAAGGAGGAGTAGAAATAGAAAAATCAGTAGGCACACTAAATCTAAAGGCATATTACATCAATTTTAAATATTATCACTACAGAATAGAATATCACGTCAAGAGAAATTGCAAGTTATGGAAAATAGAAAAAAGAAAAACTAAAAAATCAAAAAGAAGATAATGAGAACACCACTATAGTATTACTATTTTATCAAGAATTCTAATTCTAATAATATCTTATTGATGGATAAGAGGAAGTTATATATATTATGTAATATTCAAATTTATGATGAAAGTCACAAGTCAAAGTTTAATTATTGGCGATGTCATTAGCTTGGTGACATAATGGAGAAACAATTGATGATATTGAGAACAATTCTCCAAAATAAAGATCCTACTGGTATGTTGACACAATTGATTATGTGCGAGAAGAATAGATTATATATTAGTGTGGCTAGCATGAACGCTAGATGATGAGTTGAGATTTTTCCCTCATAAGCTGGTAGGGGAGATTTGTTAGGTAATGTGTCAAGCCTATGTTACCCATATGATTATCCAACTAAGAAAAAAATTAAAATGAAATAAAAAATAAAAAAGAAAGTCCAAAAAGTATATCTATGGCATGAAAAGAAAGAATTTTTTTCTGTTTTATTTTTTCTATTTAAGACATGCATAAAAAAATAAAAAATAAAAATAAAAAATAAAAAAAACGTCTTTTTGTGCACTGTTGCCAATAGAGAACGGTTGAGTTTATGAGAAAAGAAAAGAAAATAAATATTTTTCTTATTCTTTTGACTAATTCTATATATAGGACAATAATTTTTGGTACAAAAAATATTGAAATTTTCTCTAGCATTGATTTTTGGATATGATTGCAGTGTTTAAGATGATGATCTCGCATGGTATTAGGCTTTGCAAATGCACAAAAAACAAATTGTATATTCTAGGTTTTTGTGGTGAGACAAAAGTATTTAGAGTGATAACCTTTATTAATGTCAATATTTTTAGAAATTAAATTGCTTTTTTTTATTTTTTATAATAGATTATTTTACAATTGACTTTGTGGTTCTCTCTCCAAGATAGAGAGATTTTTTTATGTAAATTTAGTATTCTTGTGGTTGTATTATTGTAATTGATTTATTTTCTATTTATTATTGTGTGCATTTAGTTTGATTTTTTTCCTCAAGAAATTTAATTTACATTGGGTAGGATTAAAATTCCAACATTAGTAGTATCATAATTTTAGTTGGAATATTTGTATAAATTAGATGAAGAAAAATAATCCGAGAACTATAATCCAACTAACGACTTCGAATTATTCAATTTGGAAACTAATGATGAAAGATTTACTTTATTACAATGATTTTTTTTATCCGATTAAATTAGATAAAACCAAACCAATAGCCAAGACTGACGATGTTACTTAAGAAAAAAAATAAGAAAGCTATAGAGCATTCAAACTATGGTTCAACGATAGAGTGTTTCATCAAGTATCTAAATAGATAAATGCCCAAGAATTATGAAAAAAAATTAGAGAGCATTTATGAAAGAAAAGCTACATGAAATAAAGCTTCTTTGATTGGAAAGTTCATGAATTTGAAATATCGAGATGGAAGGTCTATCAATGAACCTTAAAGTGACTTTTAGAATTTGATTACTCGGTTGATAACCATAAACATAATGCAAAATGATGAGTTATAAGAGCTATTACTATTGAAAACTTTAATAGATAGTTGAAAGATTTTAGTTGTGTTACTTGGTAATTCTACTCTAAATGATGTTTTATTGCTATCTATGGTGAAAGATAGCTTGTTTAATGAAGAAATAAGAAATAAGAATTTATATAGATGATGTACAAACTCTTGTCAAAAAGAACAAAGAGTAGTAGAAATAGAGGACTTAGTGGACATGATAAATCCAAAGGCATATCAAAGTCTAGTCCTAGTAAATGTCATTATTATGGAAGAAAATATCACATCAAGAGAAATTGCAAGGCATATAAGAAAGAATAAGAGAGCTAAAGAATCAGAAAGAAGATAATATGAACACCACTGTACTATTAACTTCAGAGTGAGATATTGTAGTGCCCTCATATTGAAAAGAGAATCGTAATGTTACAAATCCTTGTATTGAATAGGTTACTGACTCAATGATGGGGTATCACGCTACTTCTATTAAGAAATTCATTATTGTGTACAAAGTAGGAGACTTTGACAGAGCAAAGATGGATAATAATAGTTATGCTAGTGTTTTAAGAGTTGGTGATGTGTGTATAAAAACATACACAAGTTGTACACTAACTTTGCAGGATGCGTTGCATATATCGAATTTATGTCCGAATCTAATTTTTACTCATGTCTTAGACATTGTCGGCTACTACAATTAGTTTGGTAGTGAAAGACGGATACTATAATATTTGTGATAAACTGTACAAAATAAAAATATAGTTGATCAGACCTAAGAAGAGTGCAGTAAGACATAGAACTTCTTCAAAGTTGTAGTCTAGACAACAAACTCAAGTGAATGAAAAAAAGATTGACAAATAAATTATTGTTTTACTTTTACCAAGGAGATGACCATATACAGAAGAGTATTGAATGAAGAACATAAAATTGATATTGAATCAACCATTGGTAATGATGCATGATGATACAGACATGGAGAGTGTGAGTAGAGGGAGCAGAACCCTCCACTTTAGAATGTGGAACCTAACGTATGTCTACTGGTTAGTATCATTCTTTTATCAAGAATTTCAATTATAATAATGTCTTATTCATGGAAGAGAGAGAGCTAAATAACTTTCATAATATTTAACTTATGACCAAAATTAGAAATCAAACTTTAATGATTGCGATGCCATTGGTTTTGTGAGGTAATGAAAAAATAGTTTATGATGCTGAGAATGATTTTTCAAGATAAAGATTGTGCTGATAAGTTGACAAAATTGATAGCACACAAGAAAACTAAATTGTGTGCCTGTGTTGCTAGCATGAAATCTGGATGATGAGTTGAGATTTTCTTCCAATAGGCTGGAGGAGGAGATTTGTTGGATAATGGATGCAGCTCATGTTACCTATATGATTATCCAACTTAGAAAATGATTGAAGTTAAATAGGAAAATGACGAATTTTATAGGAAGAAAACAAGAATTTTTGGTGCATAAAATATTAGAGTTTTTTTTTCCTCTGGCATTGATTTTTGGATCCTACAAAAAATTGCAGTGTTCAAGGTAGTGATCTCCCACAATATTGAGCTTTATAGAAACACAAACATTTCGTATATTTTAGGTTTTTATAGTGAAATGGATTTAGTTAGAAAGATAAGTTATATTACTGTTAATATTTTTATTTCTCATGTTCACACGTAAACTGGAGTGATTGTATTGTTTTCTTGATTATAGTAGATTATTTTTGAGTTTGTCCCATGATTTTTCTATCTACAATGGAGATGATTTTCTATGTAAATTTAATGTTTTTGTAATTGTGATTTTGTGATTAATTTATTTTGTGCTTTGATTATAGTGTGCTTGGTTTAATTATTTTCACACGAAATTGAGATTAAATTCCCAACAAACATTAACAACATACAATAGCGAAGAGAATAGACTCACTAGGTTCCTGCTACTCGGGTACTCATGTGGGTGTTGTCCTCTTCATAAAGCTTGGCTAGACCAAAGTCGGATATCTTTGGGTTTAGATGCTTATCAAGCAGAACATTAGTGGCCTTGATGTCTCTATGCACAATCTTCAATCTTGATTCTTCATGGAGATAAGCCAAGCCTCTTGCGATACCAAAAGAAATTCTGTGCCTTGTAGGCCAATCCAACTTCAACTGGTATTCTTCAGGACCTTTGAAATCAAGTCAGCAGGAATGGTAAATACAGCATTAATACTTTTTTTCTCCCATACCAGCATGCATTTACAGTTATGAAAACATCTAAGAAACCAATAGCTTGCAATCAATTAAATTATGTTCTTCGAATTTACCAAACAAAGCACGAGCAAGGCTGTTATTTTCCATGTACTCATACACCAACAATAATTGATTGCCTTCGATGCAACATCCATGAAGCTTTACAAGATGAGGGTGTTGCAGAGCAGAAATCATGCCAATCTCATTCACAAATTCACGGTTTCCTTGGTTTGATTTGGAGGAAAGCTGCTTTACAGCTATTATGGTTCCATCTGATAGAAGGCCCTGCATCAAGGAAATAATGTCAATTTTTCGCAAGGTAAATATTGCATCAAACTAAGAATCTTAAAAATGTTTCATAGGCATTGCATTGAGGAAATAAGTAGATGCATGTTGGGTACCTTGTAAACAGGACCAAAACCTCCTTCTCCAATTTTATTAGCAGGATCAAAGTTGTTTGTAGCAGTTTTAATCTGCCTCAATGTAAATGAACATGTTTTTAAGTCTAGGCCCTTCAAATCTGTTGGAAAAGCAAATTTGGATCAGAAACCAATCTGTATCTTAGTAATTTGTTTCTCTGTTTTTTCTTTTTTTCAATATTTTGATTTTTTCTGAATTTTTTTTCTCAAGTTCGATTATATATATATATATGTGTTCTACAAAATTGATATGGAGAAATCATATGCAAAAATAGCAAAATAAAGATAAAGCTTTAGACAATACCGTGATGCATACTGATCTTCTGTCCAAAACAACCTTTCCACCAGAGGATTCCTAGAATCAGGACGATGACAACTACTACTGCAACCACAATACCAACCACAGTGCCGGCATATGTACTAGTACTACTGCTTTTTTCTGATGGGGGTATAAAATCTGCAGGAAGCAAAGAATTTATAACAGACAATGTACTAGTACTACTGCTTTTTTCCTATTGACATCAAATTGTAAGTCAAATTGGTCGGACAATGCATTATTCATATCTGATTGCAGAAATTGTACTATTTCGAGCAGCTACAAATAGCAGTAAAATAAGACAATATCAGTATTGAGTTCTGTACTGAAGCAGTATGCAAAGATAGAGTAGGAAGTTTTCCATTTAGATTCACGAAAATTTCTAAATGCATCTCCCAAACTTCAATAATAAATAAGAGTGGCAAATCTGTACTAACACCCCCATAATCGGACCAGGCTAGCTTCATTCGTGGTTTTGTACTTTACGAACAGAATCTGATGATTAAGTTCATTAAATTTCGTCAACTTACCAGGCGTCACAGAAATAGCTGATATGAGTGGTCCATAGACTCCTCCAACAGGTAGCCTGGTGGTCCCTTTTCCAGCCCAATAAAAGCGCATCTCCAATGTATTACCAGTTACAACGGCAGTAAAATTCTTGATAATTGCCTTACCAACACCACCTGCTTCATTCTGGATACTGAAATCCTTCTGTACAAGCTTTCCCTACATTTTTTTTTTTTTTATCAGAAAGCAATTAGTAAAACTGAAAGGATAAAAATACAATAACATTTTGGGAGTTCTTTCAAATTTCAAATACTGTGACAAATGTATTTTGATTAGTCACCTGAATATAGATGTCAAAAAATCGCCTACCAAGGCTGTTGAATGTCCTGTCATTGGTAAACATTATCTCAGCAAAATGGAGGAAAACTGTGTAGTTCCCATTTCCCATACAGAAACCATAATAAGTTAGAGAGATTGGAGCAAGGCGTGCATCCATGTAAAGTGCCGAAGTATTTGCAGAGAGTTTAGTTGCATTTGTCCCTGTGAATGTATCTGAGTTACTGTCATCGTCCATGAAGTGACCAGTGGTACTAACAGCCCAGTTAGTTCTACTCTGGTAGAAACTTGATGGTCCGGCTGGATCTGTATCATCTTCATATTTGTTCCCTCCAATAGTTGCTTCTTTTCCTCCACAATTTATGTGGAAGGAATAGAATTCTGTTGCCAGCAACAACATATCAATCACCATGGAATTGGAACATCCACTAATCAATCTATCAAGGCAATGAACAACTTATGTATGTCGAAAATATTCTTATGCAATTCTGTTTCTTCATAATGACAAGAACTGCATTGTAATACAATTAGATCTTTAACTTCCAGAAGAAGACTGCTGATATTTAGATTTTGCAAATGATTTTGTACAACACAATTATAAGCTTTACTTACTTTTTGGACAATGAAAGCTTCTTAAGCATGGAACACTGAGATAGAGAAAAAAATATCATCATATTTGAGTACAAGTTAGCATAGGGAAGGTCTAAACAAAATTATCAAACATCTCTCAAGAAATAGATAAGCTTAAGAGGTCAGGAGTCTAAACACTTACGAGATGTTGCCCGTTGAAGAACTCCCGAATAAGTTTCTACACGAAATCATCAGAAGCGAAAAAATTAGTGCTAATGCAAATTGCAAGCGAATGCAGGAGAATGAGGGAATGATGGATAGAACAAGAGACGAGACCACAAAACTTCACTTTCTTACATGTTGCGCTGTAGACATGAGTTTTCATTTCTGAAATTGTTGTAGGTAAGATCACTGCCAAAAGAAAGGTAGATATTCAGTTCAAGGTGGACAATGATCAAACAATTTATTGATCTCATATGTATTTGGTTAAGAGTGCCTAGTTAGAGTTAGTGGCTATGAGCCTTTCTATTGTTCTCATGATCCCCCGATGCATAGAAATTTTAGTTTTAGGCATCAAATGTAGAACAAGGTTACCACATGACTTAGTTATCCAAATGCAATCATTGGTGAGCCGCGATCCAAACCAAGTTTACTATTTTCTGAGCACAGTTGAATTTCCTAAATATCTAGGAAGGTCCTGAATTATGATGCTCAAATGGCTTCTGTATCAAGAAAACAATAGGGAAATTCTGCAGCATATTTGTAAAACTATATAGATGACTTTAATAATTATCAAAAATAAATCCAGACAGAAAGAGAAACCTTACACAAAGTTTCCTTGCTTTATCATCCAGTCAGGCACAGTCCCATTTAGCCGATTCCCCGTTAAATATCTAAAAACATTTAGTGCATCAATGAATGTGGAGGCCAGGCAAAGGCAGGAAAATTTACAAAGTTTTGGATGATATTTGTGTGTATTATAAGAATGCAATGGATATAGAACAGACGCAAGACTTGGTTTGAAATATGAGAACTGCTCAGGCTCTTCAAGCTAAATGTAAGAGTGAACAAATAAAATGTCATTTGCTTACATGTAATCTGCGTTTATTAGACTATTAAAGCTGCTTGGAATTTCTCCAACGAGTTTGTTAAAGCTGAGGTCTCTGCAAAAGAAACCATAACGAAAGCTTTAATGTGTGTGTATATATATATATAGGGTGACAAAACCAAGTCCAATTCCTGGCTAGGAAGTAAATTAATCAAAGGAACAAAAGTATATCAAATATTAGGTATTGATCCATTATATATACTGACAAGGTTATCAAATCGGTCAATTCACCAACATAGTCAGGTATTGATCCAATAATATTGCAACTCCTTAGTATCCTGCAATATAAACATTATTCTTAAGAATCAATGCAACAAACTAATTGCATGAATATTTACTAGAAATTAAGCATTTAACTCACAATGTCTTCAGGTTTTTCATACTACTTAATTGTGGAAATGAGGATTCAGATTCATTGCCCAGATCACTGATTCTCCTGTATATCGGATTTATACACAGTTAACGATAACAGCCTTCATTATTCTTTTCCAATGTTTTCAAATAATTAACAAAGTTTTACTCACAAATCAGTCATCTCTCCCAGGAGAGCAATGCCGGTTGGAATTGGCCCACTTAGACCACTGCCTTGTATCCCTCTATCATACAGTCAAACAATGGTTCAAATAAATAATCTGATATGTCATATATAAATTGTAACGTAATTCATAGAGTTATAAATCATTAAAAAAAAAAAAAACTTACAGTTTTTTTAGTTTTGTCCAATTTTGAATAATATTCGGTATCTGACCTGTGAATTGGTTATCACTAATTCGGCTGAAAAAAAAAAACAGAGATAGAAAAAATATTCATGCCATTTGAATTAAAATTTAACGTTTAATTTGTGTTATGATAGATAAGATATTTTAAAATAAAATAACTAATAATACTTAGACCATGAGTTCATTTTAAAGAAAAAGGCAAACATAAAAAGAAAAAGAAATTCACATTCGAACCCATAAAAAATATTAGGAATATTTCCATCTAAACATGATTTTTATTTTTTATTTTTTCTTTTTTATGTCTATCTTATATTTATAAAATAAGTATTATAAGAAAGATAAAAATTTGAATCATAAATAATACTTCAAAAACTTACAAGTCCTTTAACGTGGTTAGCTTTGAAAACGTTGCTGGCAACAATCCTGTAAAGTTGTTAGAAGATAACTGCCTATAACATCAAACAAAAAATATTAAGGAATATCATTCTAACTAAATTTCCATGTTTTTTTAAACAAAGCTCATTAGAAAATGCAAAATTAATTACAAGTCACTAAAAAATTGCTAGAAATCATTAGTTTACAAAAGACCTTACAATTTTTCAATACGAGCCAAATTTCCAAGCTCTTGTGGCAAAACTCCTGAAAGCTGATTAAACTCGACAGTGCTGCATGATTTTTTTTTACCTCAAACCATTAAATCCACACAAATTATTACTTAATTGAAACAATAAAAGGAGAAAAGGATTGATCTTATATATCTTACAAAATTGCAAGAGTGCTGATGTTTCCAATTTCTTTTGGGATTGGACCGGTTAATCGATTTGCGATAATAGAACTGCACATAAATATTAACGCTTTTTTTAAAAAAAATAATTTCATTTATAACTAGATGTTATTAAAGCATATGAAAATTGAATATACATGTTAACCAGTTGCGTGGTACCCCATTCTTGAGGGATGGTACCTTTGAGGTAGTTACGTGTAAGGTCGCTGTAAAAAAAAAAAAATGTGTTAAGCAAATTAATAGGAGCATTCTATATCATATGTTAAATATGTAGTGTAGGTATTTAAATGGGATGATTAAGAAAATCTTGGGGCTAAATTTACTTAATAACCAACTTACATTTCTTGGAGGTAAGGGAACCTGCCCAAATTCGTTGGAAGATTGCCTTCAAAATTCTGGAACTTGAGAACTCTGTACATCAACAATACTTACGCTTTTAAGTTTTAACCTTTAGATAGCGAAATTACAAAAAATTCTACAATGCTTTTTGTTATAAGATAAAATTAGTTATAAACAGGCATGTAAAATGAAGCGCAAATTTATAGTTATTGTTCTACTAAATGACATTAACAGAATGACAAAAAAAAAAAAACCAATTTTTTTTGCTCTGATAATTATTATTTGTTTATCAATTGACGTAGCTATCCTTGTTCTGCAAATCACCAACTAGTTACTTATGTGATTAAAAAGTGACCTAAAATACAGAGTCTGTTTTATAAAATCCAATCGGGTCAGTGGTCACGCAGTTCCTTAAAGTGCTGTTGGGTTTGTCTTGATCAATTCCATGTCTTGTACAGATGTAAACACAACCCAATTCCTTAACCTTGTCTGCACTTTTACTGGTTTGTTACCTGCCGCCATATCTTGATTCTTGGGACTTTTTTTTTTTTTTTTTGAGGTGAAGGGATTCTATTTTTCTTTAAAATATTGTTTTGAAAGAATAGCTTTTAAAGGCTCGAATGTAATTATATAGTTGAGCAAGCTAATATTGAATATTGGGTTATGCTCATGTCTAGATCTTTTATTTATCAAATTCTTTTAATTGAAACTTTGTATTCTTTTTATTATTATTATTATTGATTGATTGAAACTTTTTATTTTTTATTTTGTATTATTTGATACCCTCTACTATAAAATCTTTAGTTATAAACTGACATAAGACTGACATGTTTGTCCACTCTTCTTTTCTACGTCTATAAAAACAATAAAATTCAAAAAAAGAAATCATGTATCAATTTTTCATCCATTGTTATATGAACGATAATGGAGTTTATATATATAGGCTTGTAATAAGTTCAAGCCTCATATATTGAAAATACCTCCCTCATAAACTTGCAAATACACATGAATATTTGGAAACTCTGTTTTTTTTTTCCCTTCCTTTTTCATGTGTATCTTTTTTAGGCAAACTATGGAATCAATGCCCAGTCTCTTAAGAATTCTCCTAGGTTTCTATCAACATAATAACCATAAAATTATGTTTGGTTTGGAATAATTAATTAAAGGCCTTAATTCCCTAGCCGGCAACAAATAGAGAGAGCTAGCGAGACTTACATGCTAACGACATGGCAGATGGTGCCATTTGAAAAGGTGCAGTTACAGGTTACGCCATTTTCACTTCGTTTTGCTGGATTTGGATCAACCCAACCCCATTGACCACCACAAGGATCAGCACTAAAATTCCAATCTGTCTTGCCTATTATCTTTGCTACGTCACGTAGAGCTTCCACTGTAAATATTTAAATGTAACAATTAAACATAATGATCAATATAGACACAAAGCTTATTATTTTCCAGTAAAATGATGTATAATCAAAATTGAAGTGCTTCGTCTCCATAGCTATGATTTGCCCAAAAACAACCGAATGAAAAAGGGAAAAAAATAAAACCTCCAAAAGTATACTTGATAGAAGGCAAATTAACTAGCTGTTCCTATCTTGCTTTGAACATACCTTCATCCACTGGTAATAGAGCAGCCCCAAAAGCAAATATTGGAAGACAAAAGACAATGAATGAAGTAAGAAGAAGCCTAGAGAAGGACATGAGGTATACGTATTAACCTTCACAGTTGAGAGAAAATAGTGGCCAGAACTGTGATGTATAACTAATTTTTATAATTCGAAGTAGGAATTGGTATTGGGAGTTTGAAAGTTTCGTGTGAAAGGGAGGAAGAGGGTTGCTTTCAGAGAGAAGGGATCGAGTAGACTTTTGACAAACGAAGCCATCTAAAATTTTCCATTGAATTTGCTGTTTAATATCATTTTTATCCTTGCATATTAGACATTTTCTCTAATGGCTTTGGAAAAAAAAAAAAAAGAAATCGGGTTGTTGGGTTGGATCCTTCTGGAATGAAGTCCAAACCCATGTAAATAAAAGAGAAAACAAAATAAAAAATAAAAAATAAAAATAAAATTGTTACTAATAAACTAAACTAAAAGGCATTTGATTTTTCATCGATGAACAACTATTCATCAATTATTTAATAACTGCTTCTTTTGTTTTCTGCTTTTTTTTTCAGTTTTTTGGTTCGGTTACTGTTCACTTTTTTCCTTTTTACTTTTTTTCTCTTCCATCAATACGTGTTACATTTTTTTTATTTAAAAAGCCACGTGTTACATGTTTTTCTGAAATTTAGGTATGAGATTTTTCAAGAGTAAACAATTGTTCATCAACTATTCACTTTTTTTCTGCTTCTTTTTTTCATTTTTTTGGGTTCTGTTAGTGTTCACTTCTTCCTTTTTGCTTTTTTTTCTTTTCCAACAATACCACTTTATGCTAGATTTATTTAAAAAACCACGTGGTATTCTTTTTTTCTGAAATTTAAGTATCTAAAAATTAATACGTTAATTTTTAATTTCAGATTTTTTAAATTATTTTTATTGAAAATTGATTTTTTTTTCTTTTTTAGATTTTCATCTATTTTGACACTAAAAGCATGCATAAATTGTACATGATTGATTTATTAAATTTTCAAATATCTAAAAATATGTCAAAACATGTGAATTTTTTTTCTTGATTCTTTAAATATTTGTTAATTGCTTTTTAGTATTTAGGAAAAAATTTTAAAAATAAAATATCTGTAAATTTTTATATATTTTTAGAAACCGAGAAATTGCACTTATTGGTTAAAGTTAAAAAAATCTAATAAAGTAACATAATTTCAAATAAAAATAATTAAAAAATATTCAATTTGAAATTAAATTGAAAAATTTATTCTCAAATAATTAAAAATTAAAGAAAAGTTTTAATAGTTTATAAAAAACAATAAAACAAAATAAGTTTTTACCATTCATAATACTATTCACATACTCACAGATCACTATTCCTTTTACGATTCATGGCATTTTTTTGATACTTTGATCCTTATATATATATATATATATATATATATATATATATATATAGTCAATTTCAAACTTCAATTGTATTGTGATTTGATCTCATTTTGTTTTAGTGTTTTTTATTAATTACTTGTCTTATTTAAAATTTACAACTTTAGTTTGTAATTTTTTTTTAAATTCTCATCAAATTAATTTAAAAGTTTATTTACCGAAAATTTTGATTTGGTTTTCTATATATATGGATTTTAGAATAAATTTTTAGAACTTGATTATTTTTTCTTTTGAAAAATAGATTTATATAATTTTTAAATTATAGTGGCATGATTAATATATATCATTTGTCTAAAATACATTTTTAGATTAAAAGTGTATTTTAAATAATTTTTTCTCGATTTTTTTTAGAAAAAACTCAAATTAGTTAATTAATAATTGAAAGTCAAATGTGAAAAAAAAAAAAAAAGATGGTTAATCCGTACGTAAAGCCTATCTTCAAGAACTAGTCATGTAGAGCATAAAAATAAAAAACTATTTAAGAAGGAGGACAAAAAAGAAAAAGAATTCATGCGTTTTATTTGTTTCTGCTTTATATAATCAAAATTTATTAAAATCAATTTTGTAATAAATTTTATTTTAGTATATTAACTTCAAATTTAGTCAATATATTCCTTGTAAGCTAACTTTTTTTTATAATGTTTTTTGTTTTATGCCGAAAACTCTCAATCAACTTAGTATAGTTATGATGTATAAAAAAATATTGAATCATTGTTTTATTATAAATTAACTATACAACTACTACTAAACTATGCATTTACTATTTATTTATTTATTTTTGAATATTTTAAAATTGATTTATTTTAAATTAAATAATTAAAATTATGTTTTGGCTTAACCTCTCAATGATTTAAATTGCATAGTTTTTTATTTTAATATTATTCATTTTTTGTGAATACGTATATAAAAATTAAATTCACATTTTTAAAAAAACCAATATTCTCATAAAAATTAAATAAAAATAAAAAAATAATTTTTTTATTTGTTCAATTCTATATAAGTTTTTATTAGTTGTTATTTTAGTTTTTCGACATAATTTTTGTGAAATACTAAAGCTTTTTTTTAAAATTGTTATTTAATTTTTTTAGTTAATAATCCATAGATTAACAAAAATAAATCATGAAAAACATAAATAAGAAATAGTTAAATATAAAATTTTGATTGAATAATTATAAATAATTTTTTTTATTTTTAATTTCATATATTTTTATAGATTCACATCATAACACGTACTATCAAATTGAAATGATTTTTTTAAAAATAATTTCATATATTTTATCCAACCAACATCGTAACACGGGTGAAAAAACTAGTAGGTACTATACCTTGTACGGACCAAACTAATATCATGTGAGTGAAAATTATATAAGCCAAATTTTAGTTTATTTGGTAGCCCTCGTCAATAACAAAAAGCAAAAAAGACAAAGGAGATGTTTGACGAAAAAGAAAAACAAGGAAATTTTGTGATTTTCATTTTGATTGCCTTGATCGGATAATAATTTCAAACTCGTTCAAAATAAAATTTTGATATATTATTTTCGACAACAAGTTCTTTAACTTGAATAATGTTGACGGTTGAGAAGCTTTGTCACGGGGTTACGTTAGGGTAAGACGACGATTTGGAGAAATAGGGAATGGGCAAAAATGGAGTCACCACCTTGTATTATAGTTACTAGGAAACCATATAGTTAATCTGTTTAGAGTTTTAGGTAAGGGGTTTGTTAAGTCAAGGGAAGATTAAAAATCAATCTACCATATTCCGTCTAAGGCAAGCTATATTGCATATGGATTTTGATTTGATTTCAAATTTTTTTATGATGAAAACCTATGCCTATTACTAAATTTTCACCAACCGGACGAGCGATTCGGGACTTGATCGGTCAAAGGTCTTATCCTCACTCCGAAACATATTAAATATGAATCTAAGACAACTATATTAAAACTCACATAATAGAGATGACAAAAGTATATAACAAAAAAAAATGGCAAAGATAGTCCTATTTCGAAAGGCAATTCAGTTTGACACACGTGTGGGCATGTTGGATTCTTTACCTTAGCCATATGGTAGATTTTTACCCATGCGGTGCTTCTTGTTGGATAGACACATGGTTTCTTCATTTATATCACAAGGCCGATAGTCGTTTTTCTTGGTAAGCGACGACGGCTATCGGCTCTTCTAAGCCTCCTCGGTGACTTTTCTTCTCCTTGCTTTGGTTTGGAGTTCCTTTGCTTTAATTCATTATTTTTCCTATAAAACCTAAAACTCGTCATCTCAATCTTAATTAAATAAATATAATACAATAAATACTAGAAAGTTCAATGTAAAAAAACATAAAAATCATGCTAATTATACACTCATTAGACTTATAGTCAATGTAGTTTATAACTCCCATGAACTTGCTTAATGTAGCTATACGTACGGAAATAATTTTATCTACATCTACTAAGTCGTAATTATGATTTGTGTGTCATGTTTATGTTTGGTCAGTTTAAAATGCTTGGGTTTTAAAAAAAATTCTTAATTTATTTTTGACATATCGAAATTTAATTCCCAAGCCTAAATATCTCTTGAAGTATCCATAATTATGTGAGCATAAATTATGTGCCATTTCTTTTATATTTGTGATGTGAAAATATTTAAGGTCTATGAAATTGTTCATAGGAATATTTTTTTTGGAATTTAATTAACCATTATTTATTTTTCCATAATGTATATTTAAAATGACCATGCAAGTGAAAAATATATCCCACTTAAGAGTCATGGTCGAATTTTATGAACCAAAATAAGGTTAGGAAGTTGGTTAGTTTAGCTATCTTTTAGTTTCTCTCTTTAGTTAGTGATGTGACATAAAATCTTCCACCATACTTTCATTTGTACTTTCTTACTTAATTTTGGAATGTTAAACACTCCAACTTGCCTCTCTTTTTTGTCTCCATCGATTGACATCTCTTACCACAAAAATTGGACACTTGGCATATTAAACAAAGGAAACATGTAATATCAAAATTGGATGAAAAGATGAAACCTTGCCATTCTTTTTAGCTAAAACTTCGTGCCCTTCAAAAAGAGGAGAGAAAAATGTGAGTTTAAGGGAAAGAAATGAGAAAAAGAAAGGTAAGAAAGAAAGGAGAAAAGCAAAGGAAAGAAAGGAAGGAGAAAGAGAAGAAAAATGCTAAGAAATCTTAATCAAACACAAATCATTGTAAGTATGTTTCATTTAGCTTTTTTTATCCATTAAAAATTTAAATGTTCATGTTTATTTTATGAGTTTGTTTAAGCCATGTAATATGTGGTTATGGTACTTTGTGTTGTTAAAAATTTGATGTTTGGTGATGGATTTATGATGTTTTGATGATGGATTTATTTTGAATGTTGGATGTGTATTTCATTGTAAACTTTAGGTTAGAATGTGTAAGTATGTCATGCATATGTATGATGAAGGGTTGGTTTGGTGATACCTATATGTGATGAAGAACGTGTTTAAAAAATTTTAAAAGAGAATTTTTCAAATTTTAGGGGTCGAAAGTTCTGAACTTTTCATGATTTATTTAAAGATCTTACAGTGAGTTTTGGGTAAAACTCAAAGAACAAACATTGTTCATCTATGTGTCTACTATCTCTCTGTAAAATTTTGTGATTTTTTGATCTAT